TAAAACAACAACACGTAAACAATACAAATTATTGGGCCACCAATAATAATACCATGCTTCTCATCACAAAAATCACAGTCCAGAGTTCGTCATCCATAATTAACCAGTCCAGTAGTTTGCTTTCTTTCCTGAGCAAGCCATGAAAGGATGAGTGCAAACTACATTTGCAGCCATTGAAATAAGATGAGGACAAAGGGGAAGAGTGACAAGAGGTGAGAGGAACTAGGACATTTTAAAGGCAGGTGAAGAAATAGGATGGCAGAAGAATAATAGAATGATGGGATTTGTATGTATTGTCGAAGGCTTTCATGGTTGGAACCACTAAGTTGCTGTGAGTATTCCAGGCTGTATGGCCATGTTTCAGAAGCATTCTCTCCTGACATTTCACCTACATCTGTGCCATTCATCCTCAGAGGTTGTGTGGTCTGTTGGAAACTAGGAATGTGGGGTTTATATATCTGTGGAATGTCCAGGGTGGGAGAAAGAACTCTTGTCTGTTTGCGGCAAGTGTGAATGTTACAATTGGCCACCTTGATTAGCATTGAATGGCTTTGCAACTTCAAGATCTGGCTGCTTCTTGCTTGGGGGAATCCTTTTTTTGGGAGCCGTTAACTGGGCCTGATTGTTTATTGTCTGGAATTCCCCTGTTTTCTGAGTGTTGTTCTTTATTTACTGTTTTGATTTTAGATTTTTTTAAAAAATACTGGTGGCCTGATTTTGTTCATTTTCATGGTTTTCTCCTTTTTTGTTGGAATTGTCCATGTTTGAGGATTTCAACAGCTTCTCTATGTAGTCCGATATGGTGGTTGTGAGAGTGGTCCAGCATTTCTGTGTTTTCAAATACTATGCTGTGTCCAGGTTGATTCTTGTAGTTTGGTGAGGTACCAGAAGTCTCTGGCAGAGAAAGCTATAGACCTTGCAAAATTACAACTCCCATGAAGCCATAGTCTTGATCCATGGCAAAATGATGTCAAACTGCATGGAATAGTTAGTGTAGAGTGAGCCAATGTATTATTACAAGCTCTTCTTGCTGTGGTCCAAAGTATTTGGGGGGTGGCTCACTCATATCAAGAGAATTAAGATCTATTGTCGAAGGTTTTCATGGCCGGAATCACTGGGTTGTTGTAGGTTTTCTGGGCTATATGGCCATGTTCTAGAGGCATTTTCTCCTGATGTTTTGCCTGAATCTATCGCAAGCATCCTCAGAGGTACCTCACTACCTCTGAGGATGCTTGCCATAGATGCAGGTGAAACGTCAGGAGAAAATGCCTCTAGAACATGGCCATATAGCCCGGAAAACCTACAACAACCCAGAAATAAGATCCACTGCTTTACAAAATACCTGCAAACTTCTAGATAAGGATCAACACAACTGTGTACGTTAAAAAAAATATTAATAGCAGGATGTAGTTTTATAGGCTACTAGCTGTACCTGCCACGCGTTGCTGTGGCCAACCTTCCCTCCCTCTTTCTCTCCTTTCTTTCTCCCTTCCTTCCCCCTTTTTCTTTTCCTTCCCTTTCTCTCCTTTCCTTCTCTACTCTTTCCTTCCTTTCCCCCTTTTTTTCTTTTCTCTTTTTCCTTCTTCCTTCCCTCTTCTTTCTCTTCTCTCTTTCCTTCCCCTCCCTCTTTTCTCCTTCTTTCCTTCCTTCCTTTTCTTTCCTTCTCTCCTTCCTTCCTTCTCCCTTCTCCCTTTTTCTCCCTTTTTTCTTTTCCTTCCCCTTTTTCTCCTTTCTTCCTTCTCTCTTTCCTTCTTTATTTCCCTCCCTCCCTCTCTTTCTTTCTTTCTTTCTTTCTTTCTTTCTTTCTTTCTTTCTTCCTTCCTTCCTTCCTTCCTTCCTTCCTTCCTTCCTTCCTTCCTTCCTTCCTTCCTTCTTTCTCCCCTTCCTTCCCTCCCTCTTCCTTCCCTTTTTTCTGTATCGTCATTTAGCTTTTCGTCATTTAGCTTTTGGGTTTTTAAGACCTTTTCGCTGTTTTTTGGTGTTTTTTTTATGAGTTATGGTCACTCGTTGGTCTGTTAGGGGTATAGTGTCCAAATTTCGTGTCAGATCGTCCAGTGTTTTTGAGTTATGTTAATCCCACAAACAAACATTATATTTTTATTTATATAGATTATGTTGAGGGCCTGCAAGTTCCCTGCTAACATCTCAAAGACCATATGTCCTGTTCCCTTAAATTGGCCACTCTGTTCTGAAATAGCTGTAAAATAGAACGCAACATGATATGAGTCCTTTTCTTTCTCCGTATAAAGGGAACTGCAAAGAGAAAATGCGAACTGTCTAGATGCTGATTTGACATACATTCTATATACATAGATTTATCATACTGTGACTGGGCAGGGCTACAAAATCACCCCAGGAAAATTGCTTGCAAAAATCTTCCAGGTGGCTCTTAGTATATTCAGCCCTGTGTCATCGTGGCTTTCATGGATGGGGAATGACCACATAGAAAATGTGATTGATATAAAACACTCTAATGGATGCTACAGCAAGAGAGAACACATTCTCCATCAATCACAATTCAGTGGCTGACTTAGGATTTCATGCTTGAGGCTGAAGTCCCTTCTGAAATGGAACACTATGAATTATGAACTAAGCAGCCAGCATGGAGTAAGCCTTGCCATTTGCTACATGTTCAGCTTTGTCTCCATTACGGACTCCACCAGACTCCAACTCTGAACAGACACCATAATAATGCTTTTCTGATATATCACTCTGTGTTACAGGGTTGATGAAGAAGGAAATGTTGACCATTTCTGCTACCTTGCCAGCCACCTCTCCACGAAAGTCAACATTGACAGTGAAATACAACACTGCCTGAGCTCTGCGAGTGCAGCATTTTTCCGAATGAAGCAGAGAGTGTTTGAGGACCGGGACATCTGTTGGGATACCAAGGGGCATGTTTATAAAGCTATTGTCCTCCCAACCCTGCGAAACTTGGACTGTCTACAGACATCACATGCAACTCCTGGAACGATTCCATCAGTGTTGCCTCCAAAAAATCTTTTGGGAAGACAAGCAGACAAATGTCAGTGTGCTGGAAGAGACAAAGACCACCAACACTGAAGAGATGGTCCTCTGCCATCAACTCCACTGGACCGGCCACATTGCCTGGATGCCCGACCACCGTCTCCCAAAGCAGTTGCTCTACTCCGAACTCAAGAATGGAAAATGGAATGTTGGAGGACAGGAAAAGAGATTTAAAGATGGGCTCAAAGCCAACCTTAAAAACTCTGGCATAGACACTGAGAACTGGGAAGCCCTGGCCCTTGAGTGCTCCAGCTGGAGGTCAGCTGTGACCAGCAGTGCTGTAGAATTTGAAGAGGCATGAATGGAGGGTGAAAGAGAGAAACGTGCCAAGAGGAAGGTGCATCAAGCCAACCCTGACTGGGACTGCCTTCCACCTGGAAACCGATGCCCTCACTGCAGAAGAACATGCAGGCCAGGAATATGGCTCCATAGTCACCTACGTACCCACCGCCAGTACACCGATCTTGGAAGACAATCCTACTCGGACAACAAGGGATCGGCTAAGGCTGAAGACACTTGCCATGCATACCCATCTATATTAGGCTTGTGCATAGATTTGGAATAGTCGGTTGCCTTCGGCCAATCCAGCTTGTTCGGCTTGGTCGAATGGTCGTAACAGCAAGGACCCAAGCCATCACATATTTCTCTCCATAACGGGATCACTTGGCAGCCCATTACAGTTCCTCCTCCCTTATTTAGTATCACAAGGCAGGCAAAGAGGCTGCTGCGTGCTGCTTGCATGGGGTTTCCCTGTGAGACCTGCGTCTTGGGCCAATTGGAATTTAAGAATGCGATGACATGTGTAACATAAGCTGTGTCTGCTTCCTTAAACCCATTGCTGAAACTCTTGAAAGGGAAAAAGGAAAGGGTCCCAGGAACAGAAAGGGGAACCTTTGTAAGTTCCCCATTGCCATCAATGGGCCAGATCTAGCCTCATTTTTTGGCTGTGGACCAAAAATGCCTATTCTGTAGTGATTACAGGTCAAGCATCTCTAATTCTTAATGCCATATATACTTGAGAATAAGCCGACCTGAATATAAGCTGAGGAACCTAATTTTACCACAAAAAAACCTTGGAAAACATATTAAGTATAAGCTGAGGGTGGGAAATGCAGCAGCTAAGGGTAAATTTCAAAATTACACACACACACACACACACACACACACACATATATATATAATTACATTAAGTGAGACATGTTAAATGTTTTTGAATATTTACATAAAAATGTTATTTAAGACGAGACTGGCCAACTCTGATTAAACCATTATTCTAACCTTCTTCAATGTAAATGTGCTTACGTATCTTTCCAATAATAATAGAGTAAAATAATACAGGTAATAATAATAATAATAATAGAGTAAAATAAGAAATGTAGTAACAACAATAATAGAGTAAAATAATAAATGTAATAAAATAATAGAGTAAAATAATAAATGTAATGACAACAAAATTAGAGTAAAATAATAAATGTAACAACAACAACAACAACAACAACAACAACAACAACAACAACAACAAAGTAAAATAATAAATAACTTTGACTCGACTATAAACCGAGGGGAGCTTTTTCAGACTAAAAAAAGGGCTGAAAAACCCAACGTATACTCGAGTATATACGGTACATGAGAGCAGAAATTTTTGAATACTACTTTTCACACACATACATAGTGAAGTTTCTTTGAGATAAGACACAAGTCCAAACATGAAACCCATGGATGTTTCATATACACAGAGCCTAAAGGTAATTTTAGACACAAATTTTGTACCTGGGACCATCAGAAAGCAAAGGGGTCACAATCTCAGCTACCTATTTTGGAGTTTTTCAGATTTTAGAATTCCAGATGAGGGATGCACAACCTGTATTCCCAATGGATTCTGCTCATAGATGGGGTACCCAAGAAACAGCTGCAATGTTCAATTCACGCCAAGTGAACATGAAATAAAATTCATTAAAATGATCCAAACATACGTTTTCAGTAGTTCCAGTGATCACGTGGAGCCCGTCATAGGTTGACTTGATATACATCCCCTAAAAAAAAAAGAGGGCAGAGAATGCGATCACTAGAGGCAGAGTCAAGAGTTCACTAGAAGTGTAGCCAACTGTGGCTGAGATGTGTGTAGATCCACACGCAATGGGCTATGTCCTCCCACAGCGTGACATCTGTCATGTCTTGGAAGGGATCTCTGCTGCTGAGATGGGGAATGGGAGGGAGGTGCAACAAGACAATATCACAACAACAGTGGCGGGACAAAAGGCAGAATCTGCAACAGGTGCACCACACACAAGATGGAGGACAAAGGACAAACAACAAGTTCTGAGCCAAGGCAAGGCCATGAGGGAATCAGAGCACACACACACTCTCTCACACACAGGGCCAGACAGTGGGAAGCCACCACTGTATTTTCTATTTTACCTTTGCTTTTACCTATTATTTATTAAAGGTTTCTATTGCTGCCACCAATTTATTATTTTAATAGGCCACCTCCTTCACTGGAATGTTTAAAAAGCCATACAAAGACTTCAGTTGAAATGAAACAGGAATATGTTGTTATTTTGAACAGTCAATATGCGTCATGGTTTCAAATAACTTGCCAGGCTTTACTTCTTACAGAGGATGGTACTTTTATCTTGAGTTTCTTAAAACCAAGTTCTACACACAGAAATCCAAACAGGATCTTTTAAAACTTTTGAATCTCCCTTCCTCTCACAGCACTCTAAACACTATAGAGGCTTATTAACTAATATCCTCAAAAATGTGTCTTTTAAACCACAAACAGTTCCAAACTCTTCCTTCCTTCCCCTTTCAAACTTCTAACTGTCTTCTTCTCCACGAAACTCCTAACTGATCTAAAATGGGTGCCTCAGCTTCTTCTCTCCCCTTCTGGCTCTGCCCATCTCCAGTTGCTGAGCCTTTCCCTCCAATTTCATCAGCCAATCAGACTGCACTCTTGGCTATGAGGCTGCCTGTTTGCTCCTCCCCTCAGCTCTCCTTAGTTTTGGTAAGCCGGGCCTGGTTTCCGCCTTTCACACCAACACTTTAAGGTAGACCAATCCGGTACAGAAGACAATGCAGAATATAAAGAAATAGCTTGCATCAGCTTGGGACAAATGAATATGTGCTCTTATATGTATTTTCCTTGCCCCAGGAGCCTAGCACAACCAGAACTTCATTGTCTGAATCATCCCTTCATATATTCCTTCTGATGATATAAATCCTCCTGATTTTGACATCCGCCGTACAGTAGAAGTTTTTGGGATGAAGTGCAAAGAGATAAGAGAATAACTCTCCACACCCTGCCAAAACAGGCCCCTACTATGCATGTTAGGCTTGTTTGATTTTAAAAAATGGTTCAAAACTCATTTTGGATGTAGAGGGCACTGGTGGTTTGATTCTAAAGTCAATTCCGATTTTCACAGAAAAAAATGTTCAAAACTTTTCGAAACTTCCGAGACTTCTGAATTCTTTTATTAATGGTTTGAAAGTATTATTTCCTGCTTCGTTGTGTGGTCTTTACTTTGAAAGTAGTAGTTTTACTCCATGAGTGGGAAAAGCAAGCAGAGGAAATTCACCCTTCTCTGGTTTAAAACTTGCTTCTCTGGCTTGAGGCAGAAGCAGGAAAAGCTAACGAGAGGAAATTCACCCTTCTCTGGTTTATAATTCACTTCTCTGGCTTGAGGCAGAAGCAGGAAAAGCAAATGGGAMGAAATTCACCCTTCTCTGGTTTATAACTCACTTCTCTAGCTTGAACCAGAAGCGGGAAAAACAAATGGGAGGAAATTCACCCTTCTCTGGTTTAAAACTGTCTTCTCTAGCTTGAGGCAGAAGCAGGAAAAGCTAARGAGAGGAAATTCACCCTTCTCTGGTTTATAACTCACTTCTCTAGCTTGAACCAAAAGTGAGAAAAGCAAACGGGAGGAAATTCACCCTTCTCTGGTTTAAAACTGGCTTCTCTAGCTTGAGGCAGAAGCAGGAAAAGCTAATGAGAGGAAATTCACACTTCTCTGGTTTATAACTCACTTCTCTAGCTTGAACCAAAAGTGAGAAAAGCAAATGGGAGGAAATTCACCCTTCTCTGGTTTAAAACTGTCTTCTCTAGCTTGAGGCAGAAGCAGGAAAAGCTAACGAGAGGAAATTCACCCTTCTCTGGTTTATAATTCACTTCTCTGGCTTGAGCCAGAAGCAGGAAAAGCAAATGGGAGGAAATTCACCCTTCTCTGGTTCTAGCTTGAACCAAAAGTGAGAAAAGCAAACGGGAGGAAATTCACCCTTCTCTGGTTTAAAACTGGCTTCTCTGACTTAAGCTGAGGCCAGAGACCAGAAGCAGGGGAAAAGCTGAATCATTTCTGACTCACTTCCTGAGTCGGAAAAAAATGGTGAGACTATCTTCGGAAGGGCAAGAGGCTTCCGGTTTCCTAAAAAAGTTCGACCGCTTCAAAAAGGTAATCTTTCTGTCTTTATTCCGAATAACGAAGATTCCTACTGGACTTAACCATGCCTAATGCATGTAGGTCAAGAACAAGAGGCCAGTCAATGTTTGGTTTGCTCCTCAAGCTCTTCCATTGCAAAATCTCAATGCAGCTTCCTATTTGGAAGGATGCTGAAGGTTAGCTGGGCTGTGACCCATCTGCTCTAACTTTGGAGCCATCTCCGATAGAAATGGCTAAAAAGTGGAACCGTGATTGCTGCATTAGCATCATTCTGCCAGGGAGGTTTTTGACAGGCTTCTTTTCTCAGCCCCAGAAAAAATAATGTCTGCATCTTCCCGAGAGCTGAAATGAAATTCTGTTCCCTTGATCCTCAAATAGAAAGCTAACGAGCTTGCTTGTGTTGTTTCCAGCCATTATCGCTATGTGGGAAAAAAGCAAGAGATGCTGGGTTGGGTTGGGTTGGGGGGACGGAACTTCAAAACACGGAGCACAGAAAGTGAATACGACTCAACAACAAGCAGCATTTTTATCACCAGAACCTACTTCTGTCATCTTCTCTACAAAGAGTACAGAGCATCTCATTATAACACCGTTGAAGATTTATATGCTGTTATTATTCAGCTCTCCCAACCCCCAACAGGCTTGCATAGATGCGCTTCTTGATATCGGCAATGGCAAGTTATCTTTCGGAACAAGGTAACTTTGGCTCCATAATGTATTTAGGCAAGGCCAACCCTACCATGAGGTAGACAGAGCATCTGCAGATTTTGTGGGGCACAAAACAGATGGCATGCACCTTATAACTTGCACTTTTACCCCTTTCACTCCTACAAAAAGCACATTTGTTACTACCAGGTGCAGTAGAAAATTCCAGTACCCATAGCTAGATTCAACTAATAGACTACCTTATGGCTTTTCTTTTTTCATGTCAGGAACAACTTGAGAAACTACAATTCACTTCTGGTGTGAGAGAATTTTTCATCTGCAAGGACATTGCCCAAAGGGACACCTGGATGTTTTACCATCCTGTGGGAGGCTTCTCTCATGTCCCTGCATAGGAAGCTGGAGCTGACAGATGGGAGTTCACCCCACTCCCTGGATTTGAACTGCCAACCTTTCAGTCAGCAGTTCAGCCGGCACAAGGGTTTAGCCCACTGCACCACTAGGGACTTCAACAGGCTTGCATAGATGCATTTGCATAGATACCTCATGTTGGGGAGGTCCCATGGTCCACCTCATGGGCTGATTTTGCTTTCAAGAGAAACAACCCTTTAAAACAGGTCCAACCCTTGTAGATTCCAATCCAGATTTCTGGAGTTCTCCCAGACTACTATACCCCTTTTCCTACTACACCATCCTTATGTATGTTTTGGTTTTTCCTCCACATTCTATAAGGCTGAATGCCTCTCTTAAGGCTTATCTTCTTTTAGTAAGAGCTTTGACCTGTAGTATTTTGACACTGTCATCCAGGCCTTTTGTCTCTTCACCCAAACTTTGCCTCTGAGACCTCCATTGAAATTCAGTTTGATCTTCAGGATGAACAATGTCCCTAGTCCTTCTATTACAGTGGTTCCCAGGCTGTGGTCCGTGGACCACCAATGGTCCGCAAGAACGAAAATATGGTCCACAGCCTCACTATTACTACACGGTTGCCTCAAAACCACGTGGCAATGAGAGCGACTGGTCTCGCAAAACCCTCTTATGGTGCCGAGGCAACTGGGATCTCGGGAGGGGAGAGGTTGACAACCCATGAAAGATTACTACTACCACATCAGCTCTAGATTATTAAATATGGTTTTCTGTTGGTGAGCAGGACTACAGGATGGCATATGGTCTGTATCAGAAACTAGAACTTTTATTTTATTTTTTTGTGTCAAGAGTGACTTGAGGAATTGCAAGTCACTTCTGGTGTGAGAGATTTGGCCGTCTGTAAGGACGTTGCTCAGGGGACACCTGCATGTTTTGATGTTTTACCATCCTTGTGGGAGGCTTCTCTCATGCCCCCGCATAGGGAGCTGGAGCTGACAGAGGGAGCTCACCCATGCTCTCCTGATATTTGAACCTTCAACTTTCCGGTCACCAATCCTGCAGGCACAAGGGTATAACCCATTGCGCCACTGGGGACTCCTATTAGAAATTAGTAGGCCTGGTCAATCCATGGTTCTAAATGGCTCTAAAGTACTTACAAAACTAAAGTTCTGGTGGTGAAAATTTCAGAACTCTAACAAAACTTTCAAAATGTAATTATTATTTCATTATTGGTGATTTTTATGATAGAACCAGTTAGGAACTGCAATTTATAATGAAATTTTGAGAGTTTTGTTAGAGTTCCGAAATTTTCACCATCAGAACTTTAGTTTTATAAGTACTTTAGCACCATGGATTGACCAGGCCTAGAAATTAGAAACTATATCTGATGGGGTCTATCCAATGCAATTATCTGAATCAGCACCCCAAATAACCAAACCAAATCTAAATTTGACCAAAAACTAATTCATCAACCTTTTGGTAGTAATGTTGGAGAGTGGTCCCTGGTCAAGTGGTTCCTGGTTTAAAAAAAAAGGTTGGGAACCACTGTTATATTAAAACATGGATTGAAA